CCAGCAGAGGAGGAGGAGGAGGAGGAGGAGGAGGAGGACACACCGGTCACCAGTCCAGTCTGCAGCCGACACACGGGCCACCTGCCCCGGACTATTTACCGGACACACACCGCTGGAAACAAACTCATCCTGGAGGCTCCGAAGAATTCATTTTCACACTGAATAATTTATAATATTGAACATTATTACAGACTTTTATTGACAACAGTCAGATTGGAAGTTCCTTTTTCTGAAGGCTTTTTTGCTCATTTTTCTGGATCATTAATTTCATCATCCTGCAGGAGGAGAAACTGTTGAAGGAGAAACTGCAGGAGGAGAAACTGTAAGAGGAGAAACTGCAGGAGGAGAAACTGTTGGAGAAACTGTTGAAGGAGAAACTGCAGGAGGAGAAACTGTTGGAGGAGAAACTGCAGGAGGAGAAACTGTTGGAGGAGAAACTGTAGGAGGAGAAACTGTAGGAGGAGAAACTGTAGGAGGAGAAACTGTTGGAGGAGAAACTGTAGGAGGAGAAACTGTAGGAGGAGAAACTGTTGGAGGAGAAACTGGATCAGCTGGAATAAACAGATTGTCTCTAAATCAGCTCTGATATTCCTGTAAGAGCACACTAACTATATCAGAGTGATATATATGTATATAATTATATCATTCTCTATAAATATATCAACGGATTTGAAACACTTTGGTTCTGAGGGGAAAACTTGAATCGGCCTCCGGACCTCCGCGTCCCTCCCGGGGAGAGTGGCGCAGCCCTCCCCGCCGTCCGCGCACCATGAAGCGGCCGTGTGAGGACAGCAGCTCGGCAGAGAGTGATGTGGAGGAGCCCATCGATGTGGGCAGGGAGAGCGTTTATCCAGGGTGAGTGAGGAAGAAAACATTCCTCTATCTTACTGTGGATTGATTCAGAATCATTGAGGCCATTAATGTTTAATATTCAGATTATAACTTTAGACTTTATTATTGGATATAAAACAGATGATGGTTTAAAGTGAACTAACAGAACTGTACTGAACAGCCTGCATTATCATTAAGTTTCTACAGATCAATGTGATTAAAGAAGATTAATTAATTGTTGATTGTTGTTTATATATATAATATATATATTATATATACATAAACAGACTCTGAACATGTTTCACATTAACTAAAGTCACCAAACATATTTTAAACAACAGTTAAATCTCATCAATCAGTGATTCAGCTGACTGAAAGTATTTTAATCCCTCAACCTGCTTCAACTCTAATGACTGACTCCATATATGTCCTACGTTTCCCACAATCCCTTTCAGCAGCCTCTAAAACCTGTCTGTGATCAGCAGGTGGGAGGAATATTCAGACCTTAAACCACAGAGTGAAAATACTGTAAGCACTGAAGTAATAGAGTATAAATGTTTGTATCAGCAGTTAATCAATCAACCAATTAATAGATTTATTAGATTAATAAAGTAGGATTTTACTGCTAAGCTAATGTTAACTATTTATATACTGTTGGGCAGTTAAAATAAATAATTCATCATGTTTTATAAAATAATGACGTGTTTTTGTGGTGAAATTTATAAAGGTAATATTTTGTTCAGCTTTATAATAAATGTAGTAAAAAGTTCAATATTTCCCTTTTGAGATATAGAATATAAAGAAGTTTAAAATGGAAATATTCAAACATTGTTCTTACTTTACTTGAGTAAATGAACTTACAGCTGGAAACAAACACATTATAGAGAAAGAAATGATCCAGAAATTCAACATCTGTCTTTGAAACTGATTTCTTGGAGAGAAATTTGCCTTTAAAATACTAAAACTGCTCATATAGTTAAATATAATGTAATAAATAAGATCTTTGTCCTGTAGCAGCAGGATCAATTACAGCCTCAATAACTGCTCAGCTGCACAAATACGATTATTTAATGTCCTGAAACTTTTGTCTTTCAGGCACAAGAAGACGTCGTACATCCGATGTGGATCTCCGACTACGACCACTCAAGTGATGGCGAGGAAGAAGCGCAGAGGGGTATTTAACTGATGAAGAACACTGACGCTGCTGCTGTTGTGGTTAAAGACTCACTTTGAGCTTTTTTTCTTTTTCTTTGTCAGATTATCGAGAAGCGACGCAGAGACCGAATCAACAACAGTCTGTCGGAGTTACGGCGTCTCGTCCCCACGGCCTTCGAGAAGCAGGTGAGAACCAACAGAAGCAATAAATAATCAATAATCAGTGTCAGTCGCAACCAGGAAGACGCAGAGATGCTCAACCACAAGCTCGTTAACAGACAGCGAGCTAACGAGATAACTTCAGGTTGCAGTATCTCCTTCAGACGCTGCTACCAGCTGCCTTACTGCTACCTCTGATCCTATCAGTGCAGATTGGACACAGTGGAATATTCAGAGTGTGCAGGGTCACTGCTCCTTTAAGTTGATATTTTAGTGGAATTAAAGTCCAAATGATGTAAAAACAAGCTTTTCATCGAGTGGTTCATTTCCAGTGAAATCAGGAGGTTTTCTGTGATGTTAAAATGAAGCAGTGGAACAGAAACATTGAGTTTGTGGTTATAGGTACGTTAGCTGCTGCTGTTGTTTCCTCTGTTGGGTTCCTCATTATTTGAGTGTTCAGGTGCTTCCTGCTTTAACTTCTGCTCGCTTTTTTCAGGGTTCGGCCAAACTGGAGAAAGCAGAGATTCTGCAGATGACTGTGGATCATCTGAAGGTTCTGCAGGCTACAGGAGGGAAAGGTAACCACAATATAACCACAATATAACCACAGTATAACCACAATACATCCACAATATAACCACAATATAACCACAATATAACCACAATATAACCACAATATAACCACAGTATAACCACAATACATCCACAATATAACCACAGTATAACCACAATATAACCACAATATAACCACAGTATAACCACAATACATCCACAATATAACCACAATATAACCACAGTATAACCACAATATAACCACAATACATCCACAATATATCCACAATATAACCACAGTATAACCACAATATATCCACAATATCACCACAATATATCCACAATATATCCACAATATCACCACAATATCACCACAGTATAACCACAGTATAACCACAATATATCCACAGTATATCCACAATATAACCACAATATATCCACAATATAACCACAGTATAACCACAATATAACCACAATATAACCACAATACATCATCCACAATATAACCACAATACAACCACAATACAACCACAGTATAACCACAATACAACCACAATACAACCACAGTATAACCACAATATAACCACAATATATCCACAATATATCCACAATATAACCACAGTATAACCACAATATAACCACAATATATCCACAATATCACCACAATATCACCACAGTATAACCACAGTATAACCACAATATATCCACAGTATATCCACAATATATCCACAATATATCCACAATATAACCACAGTATAACCACAGTATAACCACAGTATAACCACAATATATCCACAGTATAACCACACTATAACTACAATGTAACCACAGTATAACCACAATATAGCCACAATATAACCACAGTATAACCACAATATAACCACAGTATAACCACAATATATCCACAATATAACCACAGTATAACCACAATATAACCACAGTATAACCACAATATAACCACAGTATATCCACAATATATCCACAGTATATCCACAATATATCCACAATATAACCACAGTATAACCAGAATATCCACAGTATAACCACAGTATAACCACAGTATAACCACAATATAACCACAGTATAACCACAATATAACCACAGTATATCACAATATACAGTATATCCACAATATATCCACAATATATCCACAATATAACCACAGTATAACCACAATATAACCACAGTATAACCACAGTATAACCACAATGTAACCACCCAACAGAGTTTGTGATGGAAGTGGGACGCTGCTCCAAAGTTTGGGTTTCAAACATACGAGAACAGCTCCACTGTGTACGGAGGCCGTACAGCACTTTGGACAACATTAATAAGATTTGGATTCAGTGTTTGAATCAGAAATATTCTCAGTTTGAGTCTGTTGAGTTTTATCTGTCTGTGTCCACTTTATGATGCGTTCAAGTGCAGCTTCTAACAACCTGTCAGCGTTGGTTGTTTGAAGTCAGTTTGTGTGTGTGCGTGTGTGTGTGTGTGTGTGTGTGTGTGTGTGTGTGTGTGTGTGTGTGTGTGTGTGTGTGTGTGTGTGTGTGAGTGTGTGTGAGTGTGTGTGTGTGTGTGTGAGACAGAGGTGGTGAGTGCATGGGAAAACGCTGTGGGGATAAAAGCAGCACTTGACCCTGAGCAGCGCTGTTTGCTTTTATAAAGCCAGCGGGGGAGGGGGGGAGGAGGGGGGAGGAGGAGGTGTGAGGGAGGAGGCGGGGGTCAGCGTTGGCTGCGTTCAGAGGCCGTCTCTCTGCGGCGTTTGTTTGTGTTCAGCAGCAGCAGCGTAAAGTCAGACAGAGCAAACAGCCGATCTCAGTGATCATTAATAATCCTCCCTGCAGTTACTGTCACTGTGGGTTTAAACATTTACACTCATAATAAAACACAAATCCCATAAGAAATATAAAGTTAAGGTAAGTTAATAAAGTACAAACAGACGGAACAAAATCCAATTCAATTTGGCAAATCTTGGACACAGTAGGAACAATTTAAACATCAACGCTGTGATCCATCCAGCTGGACGCCATTACACTTCTGCCTCCCCCATTAATAATATTATAATAATAATTCTATTACAATATCTAACACAGTATCTGTAGAACAGGAAATATAAAATGTATTTACAGGAATGAACATATAAAATAAACAATATAATACAATATATGACAGTAATATATACTACAGTATGTGACTGACAGATATAAATTCTAAAGTATCACAAATAAAATTATTCTTATGTTCAGTTGATTAAACAAATGAAAACTGTTCAGTATTCAGTTGCAGTGTGTAACTCCTCCACTAGATGTCAGTAAATACCAACACTGTCCCTTTAACTGCCCGTCGTCAGGGTAACAGTCTCTCTCTCTCTCTCTCTCTCTCTCTCTCTCTCTGTGTAGGTTATTTGGACGCCCACGCTCTGGCGCTGGACTTCCTGTCTCTGGGTTTCAGGGAGTGCGTGACGGAGGTTTCCCGCTACCTGAGCGCCGTGGAGGGCCTGGACTCCAGCGACCCCCTGCGCTCCCGCCTCCTCTCCCATCTCACCTCCTGCGCCTCTCAACGTGACGCCACCGCCCTCGCCATGACCTCCCATTTGCCACATCCCCACCGCCAGCAGCCTCACCCTTTGCCTCACCCCTTCCACCCCCACCATTGGGCCGCTGCAGCCGCCGCCGTCGCCACCGCGGCAGCCTTCCGACCTCTGCCGGCCGGCGCCGCGTCGTACGGACTGAGCGGGCTTCCTGTTCCTCAGGACTCCGGAGGAGGTGGAGCCCCCCAGAGGCTAGCGGAGTTGTCTCAGCGGAGCGTGGCTGCCTCCTTTTCCTCCTACGCAGACTCCACCACCTCCCCTTCCTCCTCCTCCTCCTCTTCCTCGTCTCTCGTGCTCCCCTGCGCCCCCACTCCTCTCTCCGCCTCCCTCCTCTCCCTCTCGGCGTCGTTCCCCATCACCTTCCACGGAGGTTTCCCCATCCTCCCTCCCTCCTCCTTCACCTCCACCGCCGCCACCACCAGTCCTCCCATCTCCTCCTCCTCCTCCTCCTCCTCCTCCTCCTCTTCCTCCCAGACTCCTCACAGCAGCAGCAGTAAACCGTACAGACCGTGGGGGACGGAGGTCGGAGCTTTCTGACAGCCGACTGACCTCTGACCTGTGCACCAACCGATTTAAAGGGCCAGTGTGTGGATTTAGTGACACCTAGTGGTGAACCAACTGAATACAGCTCAGCCTTCCAAGTGTGTAGGACGGGTCGGCAACCTCTTCCTCCCCTCTCCAGTGGCTCCTCGTGGCTCTAACAAAGATTCATATGTTACGTCCTGACCCAGTGCCTTTCTCTTTATATCTTCTGCTGAACCTCAACAGCTACTGAGTCTAAAGAGTCTGAGTGGGCAGATTTATTTGCTTTTACCACCGACACTGCTGCCTTACATGGATGATCGATCTGCAGCGACTGATTAGCAATATGAGCCCATCCAGCAAAGGATAAACACCCTGTCTTTAGCTGCAATGTGCCAGTAGTATTTGTACATTGTCACTGAGCTTCTGCTTGACTTCAGGATCAATATCAAATGAACCTTAGCCACAGAGAATCAATACTGACCCACAGGCTGGTGACACAACCACATAATTACACTGTTTAAGTAAAGTATTCCTTATTCTTTACTCCATCCACTACAGATTGGACATCTATATTATGCCTCCGCCATCCTCGGTCACAGAACACTACTGAATGATGGTATTCTCCATTTATCTGTGTATAACCTGCACTTTCCACTTATTATCAGCCTCAAAGTCAAGTCTTTTTAATAGTAAGTTGCTGACCCCTGGTGCAGGTGAAAGTACGGTGGCGTATCTACAGTTTGTTTGGTTGGTCCGTTCTGGTCTACTGTAGAAAGATGGCGGACTCTGTAGAAGAGGATCCGCTCTGTATACTTCTGCCAGCAGATCCTCCTGAATGTGACACACTGGACCTTTAAACACTTTTACTACCTGTGAGTTTTACCAGCTGGTTATAACACTTGACCCAAGCGACTAGATCTGTTAACTCGTTAACCTTTGAGGTGTTTTGTAACTTCACAAAGTGACCAGTGCTTCTGAAATATAACCGGAGGTTTCACTTGTTGCCTTTTCTTCTTTCTGTTTTAACAGAACAGTTTTAACACATTTTACTGAGTTCAACTGATGTTTTGTTCCCATGTGAGATTTACTTCGCTTTAAAACAAAGTGACACAAACTAAAAACCTCAACAACCTATACTGAAGAAGCCAAAATCCCACATTTATTATTATTTAACCTGGAGATGTTCTATATATTTCTTATTGTCAAAAGAAACTATAGAAAACACCAAACTGTTTGTTTTTCCTTCAAAACACTACAACCTGCACTGACTTAAAGACTACAGACACACAATACAATTTTTTGGACTTGAATTAGACCCGGACGAGCCCCCATTTTAATCACAGGCTGAGAGAGACAGACAAGATTTAAGACAGTAATCAGTCTGTCACTGAACCATCAGTAAATGTATCTACTATATATATACTATATATCTGCTTTCATCACCATGAACACACACGCTGTAGTTTATTTATACACAAATACTCACCAGAGAACCAAATGTGGATTCATCCGCTGCTGGAAATTCACCATTTCCTCCTTTTTGTTTGATATAAACTACAGTAAGTTGCTGTTTTTAATGGTTTTAAAGATTTATGTCCTCAGCAGGAGCCAACTGTGAACCATCATAACATCACCCATTGGTCTGTGGAGCGTTTGGTGCTTTGGTCGTCATTGTGTTGTTTTGTTGCAGCCAGCGGAGGTGACGTACTGCGGAGGTACACAAGGTAGCCCCGCCCTAAAGCATACCCTGCTTTATGGTCTGTTTTACCCTCAATGGGACCATCAGTTACTAAATGAACATCATGCTGTATGGAAGAAGACTGAAACTAGAGACTGAGACCAGAAACTCATCTCCATACTATCTGAGTGTTGATGTTCAGAGCACAGACCCACAGACAGGAAGTCAGACAATGCTGAGAGACGGATTTATAAAATGTTGATTTTGGTCTTTTCATGGAGTTTTTTGACAATAAGAGAAAGTAGAATTACAGGAGACGGTTTCTTTAAAACCTTCCGATTAAACACAGATAATGTGATAAAAACCAACAAACCAAAGAGAACTTCTCCAATGCAGACCTGCCAAAAACCAAATGGGGATAAAGATAATAATAATGATGATGATTGTAAACTGTTAAACTAAAACCCTTTTCCACCTTTTTATTATTATCTGTGGTTGACCTGTAAACTGTCTCTGGTTTGCTGTGTGCCTTTTTACAAATAAAGATGAAGTAACAATATGGCTGCTGGTGAGAAATGTGCAGCTGTTACTGTGTTTTTATTTCCTCAGAGAGATTTAACTTGTTTGAAATGGTTTTAATCTCCACTGTGGAACCTCCCAGCAGATCTCAATAACAGAAATTAATCCTCCAAAACACGTGGAGTCAATCAGTCATACGACAGTCTGATCAGCTTTTACTATCATTTTATTTTAATTAATTAAGTTGATTATGTAATCTTTATTTGTCCTGTGAAAATTAAATAATTAAAAAGTACTTAATCAAGAATGTTTCTGTTAGTGTCACTTAAAGTTTATGGTAAAAGCTGTTAAACTGAGAATGTTTTAACTTTTTAAATTGAGTTTGTGTTACTTAACATTTTCACTGGGATCCATTTCAACAATTTATAACAATTTATAATGAGTAATAAGAACTTACAGAACCTCTACATGGACCTTGTGGTGACACTGAACACACACACAGACACACAGACACAGACACACACAGACACACAGACACGTTCCTCCTTTGCCTTCATCTTGCAGTTGATTTACTGGAATCACTGCTGCGTTCGTTAAATCCTCCCAGAGAAGAGAACGGCGTCATTTCCAGCTGAATGGAGGATTAAAGGCTGACAGGCCTGGGAACGGCTTCCCGGGGCCGTAAATCCGCCCCGGTCAGCCGACACGGTTCTCACGCCGGGACGCTGCTTTGAAGTGACCGGCGGCAAATTGGGTGACATGAGCTGGTCAGAGCTTTCCATACAGAGGCCCAGAGAGAGGCAGACAGAGGAGGATAACAAGAGGAGGACATGTGACACTGGAGTAACAACAGTTGCTGTTAAAACACCGACACACAGAGTATTAACAGATAATGTTTCATGTTCAGGACAGAACTCATCACGTTCCTGTAACACAAACATATAATGTTGTTTTTATTTCACACATTCTTCTTTTCTTGTTAAAACCTGGGGCCTACATTACCCACAATGCAAGTCTACGGTTTAGTTACTGTAAAATAAAAATGTAATTGACTGTTTGACAGTAAAAGACCGTAAACTTAATAAAAGTTTCTGCAACAGTAGAACTACTGTGATTTCTCCGGGAAAAACCTTTATTTATACAGAATAAAGTTGTTTTTTTTTATTACAGACTGAAAATTGAAAAGAAAGACACAGCAACCACCTTCTGTTTTTTATTTGATTTTTTATAAAAGGAGACAAACAGCAGAAAGTAAAAGAAAATGTGGACCAGAGTTAATGTGAGAACCAGAGGTTTGTTTCCTGCTTCACTGCGACATTAAGGACACCATTTTATTGGGACTTAAAATCTCGATCCAGTAGCCGTCGGGATCCTGAATGAAGGCCAGATCCTTCATTTTACCTGTGAGACGACATGGTGGTAGTTGGTGTAACTTTATACTTTTCATTATTTATTGATTTGGTATTAATGAGCTTCCATATATTTAAGAGGTTAATAAAACATTAGTTTGTGATTAATAAAGTAAACAGAACCATTATCAGTCCTAACACACAACCTGCTGAACCAGAGCACCACCTCCTGGTGGAAACATCCAACAACAACATTTATATCATAATACTTTAAACATTTGTTTTTTAAAATCTAGACTTTACATGCTGATTATGATTATTCACAGTTTACACTTTGTTATAAATTACAGTTTATAAGAACAGCTGAAATTATTAGTTGATTAATCAGAAACTTTGATTGTTTGAGTCATTTTTCATGTAAAATATTTAATGATTCTTAATGAATGTCAGAACAGTAGAGAAGATTTACTGTTTAATGATTTAAAGCAGCGAGGAACTGGAACTCGTCTCACCTGAGTCGGGTTTCTTGACAAATGTCACTTTTTGCTCTTCGAATAATTTGCAGGCAGCGTGAACGTCAGGGACAGCAATACCGATGTGACCTGCAACCAGAAGAGATGGATCGAAACATTTTATTCATTATAGAGAATTATAACAATGTAATAAATAAATATTATATTATATTTAACATAATAAAGATAATAAAAGAATAAAAGAATCACTCTATAGATACTTTAACTTGTTTACAAGCAGTGAAATCTACATAAATTTTCTCACCAAATCCTCGCGGTTCGTTGTTCCCGTTGTGGTACGACAGACTTTCATCTAACTCTGAACCCCAGTTACTGACAGACAGACAGACAGAGGAACAATATTAATTAAAGGACTCATTGTGTATTTGTAGGTAGATGTAGGTGGAGATTGGTTGTGATGGTCCTAGTGGAAGGCTGGAATCGGTCCTACGAGGTTCTTGCATGAGGTCCATTGTCTCTTTTGGAATAAGGTCAAAACCTGGGACATTTGGGTGTCTGTAGGTGATCTAAAGCATGTGACAACCAACCCTGCTCTCCCCTCGTGGTCATCATACGTACTGCGTGAGCTCTATGGTGGCGCGGCGAGAGAACGTCCACGCCGTCCTCTCTTTGATGTCGGCCGGGATGTCCAACTTCTCCTCGTAGCCCAGGAAGTAGAGCGTGAACCGCATCGAGGGGAAGTCGATTTTCTGCAGCAAGCTGAAGGAAGAAGCCACAGGCGGTTAATGTCTGGGGTCAGAGAGGAATGAAGTCCGGATCGGGAACAGTTTGAGGACTCACGTCATGCCGAGGATCCGAGTGTAGAAGTCCAGAGATCTCGCTGGATCTTTGACCCTCAGCATCGTCTGCTGCATCATGTAGTCCTACAGAGAGATGAAACGTTAAAGCTGCACCGATCAACATTTTTATGTAAACTGACTCATATTCTGAGGCTCTATAAGGAGCTTTCAGCCTCTTTCAGCTCAGAGTTTTGGTGTTGTGGAACATACGGTCAGTTAGATTATTAAAGGTCTCAACAATGTGTTCTTCTATGTTTACGTCCCCTAAAATGTCCGACCTTTACTTAACTGACTCTATATTGGCCGAGAGCTATCAAAAGTCACAACACCACGGTAACAGACGCTGTGAGTCGTTTTCTGCATTGATTTTGTGGCTTCAGCATTTTGTTGATTCCTCTCAGCCACCGTAGATTTCACTTTACTGACAGAGGCTCCGACATTTGGTTGAATCTCTGTTGAATGTTTGCTCTAACGTTAACCAACTGGTTATGAACTATAACAGTGTTTTTAAATACTTTAAAACTTTAATATACTGAAAAATGTGAGTGCAGAGGAAGAAAGGGAACAATTAGTTGAATATCAGACTCTGTGGGAACGAGATAAAACCTCTTTAAATGCTTCTTAACACATGAAATTACACACAGATGGACCAGATCTTTTTCCACTTTACGTCAGTTCTAAGTACATTTACTTAACTATACTTAAAACAATTCTGAGGTACTTTTAGTATTTCCATTTTCTAACACTTTGTACTTCTACTGCACTCAGAGTTCCTTCCTTTGTTCCTTTAATTGTATCTCAGTGTTCTTGTTTCTCTGGTTGAGCAGAGGCTGTGGGCAATGACTCCTCAACAGTGATTGACAGCAGCTTGGTGATTCCCCTCTCAGCCAATCAGGATGTGACGACGCCCGTTCTTGAAGTCATAAGAGAGGCAGGGAACCGCTCACTGAGGGGACTCTTGTAGACTGATTCTGATTCAGTTCACAGACTGTTGATGCTAAAACAATCCTCTGTTTTACAGTTAGGCCACTATGTCAAACTGGCTTTAAAGCCTGGCGCTCTTCCTGCAGGGAACCCATGTTCATTCAGATATCTTGAGGTCAAAGGTCAAGGGATCCTTTTGAACATGTAGCCTCAGTTTAGAGCATTATTTATCCTCCTGGCATGACGAGGTTGGTACCGATGGAGGTGTTTGATCATCTGGTTTCATATGATATGGTATCTTCACTGTGGCTTATAAACGCAACCCACTACAGCCTCTGAGACAGTGTGGAGAGGAAGAGGGAGGGATAACGGGGTGGCCAACCAGGTTTCGGGGCTTCTGGACACGCCCCTGAGTGGAAGCAGAAACCTCAGAGGTGGATATTTAAAAATCTTGGCACATAAACCTGAAACCATCTACACGGCCAGATAACACTGGAAGAACATGTTTAATGTACATTTCTATCCTGTTTCTGACTTTAGATCCTTTAAATATATCGATCTATCTAAAGCTCCTCAGAGTCGGAGCTCCGTGTGGCCTACAGGTTCCTGCAGGTCTCCCAGAGGAACCACAGCCAACAGGTCCGACTGCATTACAGCCTCACACAATGTGACACAGAATCAAACACATGAAGTTAAAGCGCAGACGTCACCTTGGTGATGGGATCTCCTTCCTTACAGGCGGCAGTCACAGCCTCGTCCGACAGTCCTCCTCTGTCCGCCATGGCTCCCAGATCAGATCAGACTGAATGAACTCACTCAGACCGGCTCCTCCAGACGCTCCTTCCCCTGCTGCGTTCAAGTGCTGCTCGTAACATTGTACTCTCAGAGGTGATCATGCTTGCTGATGCTTTTGAGTGCAGAAATAAAGAACGAGCATCCATCACAGGAAGGTTTTAGTTTTAGGGAGCACATTACTGTTAAAGCCTCACGTGGTCTGACCCCATTATGTGTTTATATTTGGAAGCTTCATTATTTACTTATAACGAGGAAGTTAAATTGGAACGTCATTACAACAGGAAACATTATATTGATTTTACAAGAAAGTTTTGCGTTATAACGACATAAATTATGTTTAAATAACAAAAAAACTCCCAAACATCATTTATGTTATAATAATAATAATAATGTGTAAAAAGTGTCAAGAAAGGAGAATCTTTTTATTAACGGCAGAAAAACGACGCAGTGTCGTTGCGAGGAAGCTATTTAACACTTTCTTGTAATATTATATTTTGATGTTGTTTGACGCCTCTCTGCTCCTAAACGCCTCATCGTGGCAGCTCAGATATCCCAGAGAAGTCCCAGTCTGCCTGTTTCTGACAGGCCCTGAAGGAGTCCTGTGACCACTCCCCTCAACACAAACTCCTTCAGGGCCTGACTCACCTATTGTGAATGCAACGCCCACAGAGAAATGCCATAGAGCACAAACACTCCAATCTTCAATCAACATCCACATTCCACCTGCTCCACCGAGCGCAGACGCACTGATCTCTGCAACAATCTCTGCAAGGGCAGAGCCGTCTGTACTTCCTGAGAAGGCTGGGGTCCTTCAACATCTGCAAAAAACTGCTGCAGATGTTTTACCAGTCTGTGGTGGCCAGCGTGCTCTTTTATGCTGTGGTTTGCTGGGGAGGAAGCAGCAAGAGGAGCGACACCGGTCGACTGGACAGACTGGTGAGGAGAGCTGGCTCAGTAGCTGGCACAGAGCTGGACTCTCTGGTGACAGTGGCAGAGAGAGGGACCCTGGACAAACTGCTGTCCATACTGGACAACACCCACCACCCTCTGCACAACACCATCACCAGGCAGAGGAGTGTGTTCAGTGGCAGACTGCTGTCCCAAGTCCAGCTCCACCAACAGACTCAAAAACTATTTCGTCCCCCATCAGACTGTACAACAGCTCTCAGTAAAGGCAGAGAGGACAACAGACAACAGGACAATCTCCTCCTCCATTTGCACTGTTTTAATTTTAATGTATGTTTTGTATGTTTGTATGCTACTGGATGCTTGAATTTCCCTCAGGATAAATAAAGTCTATCTATCTATCTATCTATCTATCTATCTATCTATCTATCTATCTATCTATCATCAAACTGCTGAGAATTCACACTGTCAGAAAATAGACCAGCAAAAGTTCACAGACATCTGGCAGGCAGCGGTTTTATTGCTCTGTAAGACTCCAGTGAGCTGCACAGAATTATATAAGCAGCTGGTTTGGGGGATGGAGGCTCTACAGGGAGAAACAGGCAGGAAACAGGTCTGAACAGGTACCAGACTGAGGTGAGTGTGAGAACTAAGGCTGCAGACTCACATTAACACACCTGGTTCAGGACCAGATTCAGACCCACTAATCACCCTCACACCCTGACACAGGTCCCACTGTACATATTACACACATTAGTGGTGGTAAACATGTTTGTTTTCCCAATCAGTGACCACTGTGGCTGCAGTTCCTCTACCGGCCACCAGAGGCTCCAGCAGGGAGTCCCCCTCCATATTAACCAGCACAAATACATGTTTACAGCCTGTTGGTCTCTAGAGCTCACTCCCCCGTTAATGACATCTCTAATTCATGTTTTAGTCTGTTCACTGATATAGGGGAATAGAAATAACATGAAAATAATAATAAAAATGAAAATGTATAACAATAACAGGCTAAAACAGTACTTGAACACTCACACTGTTTCTACAGTAAAACTAACTCTGACTCTGAGATCTTTTTTCACCACAAGATGTCACTGAATCAACAACTGCTCCTTTAAAAGTAGTTTAGAGTGTCTCCAGACGCAGCTGTGTGAACATTTGTGTTCACATAAGTACACAAACCAACAAAATACAGAAGTCTGTACGTGTTTTTACACATTTTAATGTGGAAATGTTACAACTTTAAATGATCTAGGTTAATTTGTATCATCCACGTTTCCAATGCCAGTTGTGTTTGCTTTGAAAGTGCAACCTGTATTCAAACAGTGTGACGTTGTAAGTGTGTACATAAAAAAAGAAAATAAGAAGAATAAGAGAAAGAGGAGTTCAGTGTGCTCAGTGGTAGCTGCGGGCCTGCTTGCGGTTCTCCAGCAGCAGAACCACCAGCCGGTTCTTGAGCGTGGGCAGTTTGCTGCTGTAGCTCTGCTGCAGGACGGAGGTCAGTTTGCTGCGGAGGCTCTGGAGGCTCGGCAGGGAGACGCAGTCGGGCACGTTGAGCAGAGTGTGGAAGAACTCCAGCCACAGGTCGCTGTGGGGGTTCCTGTGGACCACACACAGAACATATTATTACGGAAAGCTGAATGACAAAAAGACTAAAGTTCTAATCCTTAAGATTTTCATTAATTCACCTGAAAACCTTTAAAGGGACATTGTGTAGGAATTTCTCCCATCTAGTGGTGAAATTGTATTTTGCATTCAAACGAATAGTGCTCTCTAGTGCCTCGCGTTTTCAAATGCGTATTGCAACTACGGTAGCTGTTATGTACCAAGAAGCCTACCTGTGGAGGAGAAAGCAGGCAACTTCAGCGTCCCTTTGAAAGTCTTTCTCCTTCATTAGCTCTTTCCACCTGGGAAAAGCTACCCCGATGTTTACCCTCGTTTTTTGAATTCACCGGTCACGTTGCCTTTTTAATTCCCTTTTTGGCTTTGTTGGTGACGAGGATTCCTTCTACTGTGGCTCGCCATAAGTATGATCCTCCATTACTACCTAAAGGGCAGTGCAGACTTTCAAATGTGCCTCTCACTGATCTCCTTCTCCGTTATAGCTGGTTTCAGGTGGACTTGCCCGTCCAATATATAAACAGATAAGAAATTCTTCGCTTACGAGGATAAGTCAGATCATTGGCAGAGGTAATTTTACACCAATGAGGACACATTTATGAATGAAGACATTGATTTTAGCTAATACAATACTTAAAACACTACACAATGTCCCTTTAAATCTTTGAAACCATTTAAAGGTTTAAAAACCTTTTAACTCTGCCACTTCTGAGCTGGATTCAAATTACTCACACAGCCTGTAATTCTGTTCTGTTTCATTGTGATTGGATTGTTGGATTACAGGAGACAACAACAGAAAGGTTGTATTGTTTATATATTCTTTATCAAACTTTTGTAAAATGTTATCAAAATCTCATTTTATAGAAAATAAACTCAATAAATAAAAGAAACAAAATCAACCCTCTGCAGGAATTACCTTCTAAACACGCCGTTCGTCTTCCACACGCCACCTTCGTTTGTGACTTGCATGTACGTCCCAAACAACATGCAGTAGACGGTCCCTGCTATCCCGAAGTAATCCGTCTACACACACACACAGACACACACACAGACACACACACACACACACACACAGTGAGACTAATTAAAAATGTCTGAATTGGTGAATCACATCGTAAGAACTGTGTACAAAATAAAAGTTAGCACTATCTCTGTTCTGCTGTATTAATATAAAACTTAACTAACTCACCTGATAGTTCCAGGGTTTCCCGCTGAGCATCTCCGTACACTGGAAGCCCGACGTCAGACACTTGCCAGTGAAAGCAGTGCCTTCTGGGTAAAGCTCCATGTCGATGCTCTGTCCGAGGTCTATGAGGACGAGGCCGTGGTCCACGTTCTCCGGGTCGAAACACCGGTTCTCCAAGAACCTGAGACAGAAACAACTGGCTGTTACATATTGTGAAAACAAACGAGGAATCCTCCCACTGATCTGGATTACTGCTCGCTACCTCTCCCCCAGCAGGAAGTTGTCGGGTTTGATGTCGGCGTGGACGACGTGGATGCGGTGCAGCTGCTCCACCATGTTCAGCATGCAGACGGTGAAGTACATGACGAGAGGCTGAGGCATCACCTTGTCGCTCAGGGTTTTATAGATGTTCACTGCGTTCTGAAAGTGGAGCCACAGTGTCAGGATACAAACCATAAAGGTACAAAGGATATGAAGGACATCTCGTATTGGTTCCACACAGAACCATCAACACACGTTTTCCTAAAAACACATTGAAAAGACTGAAAAATCAAACTTTATATAAGTAACTTCATTAATCCGTCAGAATTATATTTAAGACATTTTAAGGCCTAAAATTCAGATGCTGGGATGTTAGACCACGTAAGTGTCTCTGAGGCGATCGTACCAGCAGGGTGCCGTAGTTGTGTAACTCGGCGAGCAGCACGCTTCCGTTGTGGAAGAGGTGAGCCGAGTGGATGCGGCTGTACAGGTGACGGACGTCGGGCCGCAGCCGGGCGTCCAGCTGAGTGTTGATGTAGAACTCCCAGGGATAGGCTGGCTTCTGAACCTGCAGGGACAACCAGGAGACAAAGAGTACGACCGCTGTGAACACAGTCGGGTACAGGACAAATACCTGAAGCTTCTGAGGTCACCGCCGGCTTACCTTTAACACCATCCTCTCTGAGGTCACAGGGTCAGTAGCCTGGTAGACTTTAGCAAACGCACCTTCTCCGAGGACACAGTCGACTCGCAGGGACGCGTTTCCTGTCAGACAGAAAATATTTTAAATTCAACTCATCCCTTCAGCTCAGAGTTCATCAGGAACACGAGCTGTTCCTCTGAATCCCTCGGTCAGTGAAATAAAACCGCTCTGGTTACCCATGCTGAGGGTGGTCTTTGGGGCGATGTTGGGCACGTTGCACCTCCAGGTGGTGCAGCGGGGGTGAGAGGTGAGAGGCGGGGTGAGTCTGGACAGCAGGTCAGACATCAGTGCGTCGTCCCAGGGGTCCGAGACCAGCGGGGACGTGGCGGTCCTGGCCGGCGTCGTGCTCATGGACACGTCGGTGCTCAGCCTCGGCCCTCTGTCTGGACTCATCATGGGTTCGTCGGCGGCGCCGAACTGCGGCGCCGGGCTCATGGGGACGTCGGCACAGAGCTGCAGCTGTCCGGGACTCATGGGGACGTCCCGGCTCTTGTTCAAGTCGGCTTTCTTGAGCCGACGGGGACTCAGGAAGGCATCCAGGTCCGGTTCAACTGTGAGCTCGGGGCTTCTGATGGCCAGCCACTCGGGTTTGATAGCACCCTCAGGGCTCATGGGAACATCAAACACTTTCTGGGCTCCTTGTGGGCTGGCGGGTTTGTCCAAATCCTCCATGATGGAAAAAGGTTCGTTTCTGGGTCTGGCTGAACTCTGGGGCTGCTGCGAGATCAGAGAGACCTGTGCGGGCGGCTGCTCGGGGCTCGCGTACACTTCCCAGCCGGGCCCTGCGGTCCTGGAGACGGAGGAGTCAGCGGGACAGATGGTCTGGTCTCTGAAGGAGAGCACCGCCGGAGGGGGGGGCTGCACCATGGTGATGGAGGAGGAGGTGAGGCCGAGCTGGGCCGTGCCGAGCCCCTCGCTGACGATGGTGCCGTGTCTCTCGGAGGAGGGGACCAGCTGACTGACGGCCGTCTCAGAGAGCTTGTCGTTGGACGGACTCTGCTCCATGATGGGACTGAGACACACAGAGACAGCCGTATTGTTAATGTGTTTTCATTAACTTGCTTCATCAGCAGCTTTATTTGGATATTTCTAAAGGCCGCTCACGCTCTGAGAGTCGAGCAGGGACGGAATGGTTACCTGAGCTTTTTCGGCTGTCGTCTGATGAAAGCTTCATCTCCAGTGTCACAGTTGTTCTCTGGAGGGGCGAAAAACAAGAGAAGAAAGAGAGATTAAGTTATAAATTAGAATAGCTTCAGCTGAACTGAGTGTGTGTGTGTGTGTGTGTGGTCCAGGTGCTGTACCTTGGTCCTGGAAGAAGTTGCTGTTGGAGGGGGTTTTGTGTGTGAACGGTGTGGAGACGAACTGAGCCAACATGGCGAAGTCGGTGGTGCTGTTGGGACAAGCAGCCAGCGAGTTGAGGCTGTTGTAGCGAGCTCCCCACATGGTGCTCTCGTCCGGCATCAGATCCTGAGGAGTGTCCTGATCCCAAAACACAGACAGCGGTTAGAAAGAGAGCAAAGTGTTTCTGTTTGGAGCCTCTGTGCTGCCTTCAGGTACTGTAGGGCCGTTACCAAGAGTTCAAAACTACGTCCATAATATAAATAAAATGAAGGGTACATGTTTAAAAGTGATTGAAGTTTCTACATTATTTAAGGTTTTTATACCAAGCATAGTGTCATTTTAAGGTTTAATATAATTACATTAAATCATTTAAATAATATATTTGCTTACTATAAAGTTCTCACTATGATTATTTCAGCTTTCAGTAACTGGTTCAAAGAGAGGATTGCCACCGACTGTCAGTAGTGCACGCTCCCTCTCTCCACTGTGTGTAAAGGACGGGTAGAGTCTGGTGATATCTGGTTTCCTTCATACTCACGTTGGGTTTGTTGGACACTGGGATCTCAGCCAGAGCTCTGATCGGTTTGGACTTCTCGACCGCGGGAGCAGCAACACTGAGCAGAGAGAAAGTAACAGGAACATTATTCATATAGATTTCATTCTGATTGTTCATCACAGAGTCACAGCACAGAATATAATAGGTAATATTATTAAATGTGTCTACTTTGGTTTAACAGGATATATTGAAGATGTTTTATTGTGTTATTTACCTCCCATTTTCTTTGTCGGTGTCATCCTGGAAGACGGAGAACGGCGCTGTGGGCGGGGGCTGGGTGAAAGAGGAGGCGCCGCCTTCAAAACATAAAGTCAATAAATAAATGTAAGAATAATTTACTTAAAGAGGAAATATGATAATTTCTGAATCTTTCATCTACAATAAATTCAGTTTAATTAAAGTTTGTTTCAACAGAAAATATCACAATCACCTCACAACTACAGAAGAGAGAGAGATAAAACTGATGATCCAGTTTCTAACTCTGCTCTAATTTATTATTCTGGAAGGTTCTACTAGAATAATATTTTCAGGTTCTTTAATTTAAATTCTTCTTCCAGGTGAGTTTTAATTTAATATAATCACACATATTGTTTCTGTCTTTTGGCTGCAAATTAAAACTCACCTGGAAGAAAACATGAATGATTTTAGTCCTATTGAGACTCTTGTGGCCAAAACGAGTATTACAACAACAAACACTGACTTTAAATACAGTGGAGGAAAACTATTTACATAAGACTGAAGATAATGAATCAGCAGTATTTTGTTTTTTGAAACAAACCCTACAAACTTTTCTGTTTACAGAATATTTACCGTTTCTCGGGCAGCCGGGGTCAACCTCCCTCTCTGCAGCATGGAGCACCGACGTGTTGTTGAACGGGTCCTCGAGGAGGGTCGGCGCTTGGAACATGTCCATTATCACATCTGGATGACACAAAACCAGATGTTATTCACTGTGATACGACATTAAAAGTGCAACAGAATTTGGTGCTTTGCCACCATAAAGTGGACTGCTGAAGCAGTCGGCTGTAGGGACACCTGGAGCAGGAGGACCGGGAATAACCCCACAGCAGAAAGAGTGAAAGTAGAGAGGCTGTTGTGCTCACCCAGTGCTTCTCGTGTGTTGACAGTGGGTGACGGCAGCACCCTGGATGGTGTGGCCTGAACATAGCCCAGTGAGGTGTTAGGAGTGATGTGAGACAGGTTACCTGTGCCGCCCTGTGACACTGACAGACACACAGAGGAGGTTGGAAAACACTCACAGGGAGCTGCGATCAGACGACCAACGGCTGCTTTACTACTACTACTACTTACTGTTGAGCTTCTCCTCGGGCTCTGGCGGGTAGCAGACATCCCTGATGGCGAGACGGAAGAGACAGCAGGTTAGAATAATATTATACAGATTTCTTCTTCTCCTGCGTCATTCAGAGATTTCCAGATTTGCTAATGTGAGCGAGGAACTGAAACACAATTAAAATGTTCCATGACAACATAAAGATTGTTGGTAATTTTAAGGTTTTCCCGGACACGTCAATGTCTCTCCCTGCGTTCACCCCTCTGCTCTAGAACAATGGAATATAGTCCGAATAAACACTGGTCTCCTCTTTCTGCTACCTAATAACAGATCTACTCACTGATGTGTGGAGGCGTTGTGCTCCGAGGGTCGACAGTTCTCCGAGCTGCTGGGTTGAACTCGACCGTCCCAACAGAGAACATCAGCGTCAGCGGCGGGGACGCAGGCGGGTCTGTGGAGCGACACGTTCATCTGCTCGAAGCTCACAGCCTGCTGAACCGACCGAGGCTGAACCGTCAGGGTCTGGGCGACAGGCGCTGATGTGGGTGCTGGTGCTGGGCAGTGGACGCTCCTGTCAGCCAGGACCGAGGGACTAGGGGTTCCCTCTGAGCTCTGGGTCTCGCTCTGCCACTGAAGGGGTTCGGGGGCGGCAGCAGCCTCGTGGATGAAGGTCGGCTCGGTGTGCAACCTCAACCCGAGAGAGCGTCTGTTGCTCGGACGGTTGGAGGGTCGAGGGCGCCCAAAGGACTGCTGGGTAGGGTTGGGGTTCAGGCTGGTGGCTGTTTCTGCGACAGGCAGCTGCAACAAAGAGAACAGGTTAAGATCGTCTGCATACAGAGGGATTGTGTTTTATTTATATTAAGATTACACAACAAGAAAAAAAGAGACCAATGACAGCGACATGAGAACAGTTCAGCAGAGGTTACAGACAAGAACATATAAATAGATTCAGTGCTGCTGTTGATCAGTTACTCCATTAATCGATCAGTTCTTTGGTCCTCAAAAACAATACGTTATTAATAAGTCAAATAATAATTGAGCACGTGTGTCAGCTCCACGTAGAATATACTTGTTTAGGAAGTTTTTGCATCGTCAACCTTCTGACAGGTTTTCTGTACACGAATCCAAAAACGCTGTGAAGCTAACAGCAGCAGTTTACCGGGGCAGTGAATGCATCACTGAATCTGCAGTCTCACCCTCTGTGATGAAGGCTGGCTGCTTAGACCTCCACAGACCTGCAGATCCCGGTTCACAGACTCCAGCATACGTTTAAACCTCAGGATGTCCTCCTCCTGCTCCCTCAGCATCTTCTCCTCTTCAAACACACGTTAGAACAAAGTTAATAACTCCCTGCTGTTTCTAACCCTTCACTATCTCAGAGCAGATTTGGTTCTTACTGATTTCTCTCTGCTCCTTCTCCTGCTCCTCCCGGAGCTTACGGAAGTATTTTGCCGCTCTGACCTCCTCGAAGCAGAATTCAGACTCCTCGCAAACCAGCTCGTCCGTATTGTAGGCGGACACGGTGGGAACGCTGGGGCCCTGACTGGAGGGGAGCATCCCCGACGTCTCTGAGCGAGAGACTCTGTGGAGGATGAGGGAGACACACATTCATTATAATACCACATATTGGACGGCTGATATCAGCAAAGACCCAACAGTAACTCACGTAACGACGGTTCTACGAGCTGCTGGTTTCTGTACACAGTCCACACAGGCCTGAAACAGAGGATGAAGATTATTGTTTGAAAGCAGCCGTTGGGGGTTAATAAACGCTCATTATGGACATTCAAAGACACACACCTTGTTTGGAGCCACGGGCTCACTGTGTGTCGGCATCTGGTTGGTTAAACTGGAGTTTTGCAAAGGGTTCAGAACTCCTGCTTTATACAGAAATGAAAATAAACAGTTATTAGCTCACACAATATATAGAAGACTTCTCATTTTTACAAGTAAATAAACTCTTACCTGCTACGGGGGCCTGGATTCTGGTTCTTGTTTCAAACTGCCTGAGGATCAGATTGTTTTAGCACATTACAGTTATTGTTGTTCATTATGGTGACACTGTGTTAGACATTGTAAGAGACGTCGCAATGTACTGAATCGTAACCCGGGTGTCGTGATAGTAGCCCCGGTACAGTGGTGGGATGTAACGAGAAATAATACAAGTTGATGTCGACGTTGTGAAAGCGTGACGGTATACAGTACGGTACCGCAGACACCCTAACCCCTTCAGCTCTCTGCTGCATGTACACTTTATACTTCTTTACCTGTATTCATGGAGAACAGTGTCGGCCGGCTGGGCTTGGTTCTCCATCGCTTTCTGGTAAACAGCATCAGCCTGTTCATTCATTCCCCTCTGCTCAAACTTCTGTGCCCAGGCCACGTAGAGCGCGGCCGTCCTGGTGCCGACGCCCTTACTGAAGACGTAACTGTAGAGCGCCGTGGGGTCGGGGTAAAAACTCGCCTGTAAGAATGAAGAAGCGCTCACGTGAGGGTTCAGAACAACAAACTGTGGGTGCATCATAATGTGATATTACACTCAGACTTACACATTTGATGCAGTGGTTCACATATCTGAGGTCATTTGCGTATCGCTCGACACTCAGAAACATCTTCACGAGTCTGTCGAACACCAGGGACATCCCACTGCGAGCGTCTGCAGGCAGAGACTGCTCCAGGTAATCCACGAACCTGCACAGACAGAGGAGACACAGTGCAGTCAGACAGGTTGTTAAAGCTCACCTGGAGAACCTTTACTCTGAAAGGGTTGGACAGGAAACACAACCCAGGATTACAGCTTTAAAGAGGTTCTGTATCATTGTTCTGTTGTCTACTCACAGATTACAGAGTTACTGTTGCAGTAATCCAAAAGTAACAGAAAGTAATCAAGTTACTTTAATATTCTGACACTGGGATTAGGTTACTGACTACCTTTTTAAACAGATAATTAGTAATTGTATCAGATTACATGAAGAGTGTGTGTGTGTGTGTGTGTGTGTGTGTGTGTGTGTGTGTGTGTGTGTGTGTGTGTGTGTGTGTGTGTATGTGTGTGTGTGTGTGTGTGTGTGTGTGTGTGTGTGTGTGTGTGTGTGTGTGTGTGTGTCACTCACTTGTCCCATGGATCCAGCGGGTCGTCTCCTGTGTATGAGCTCAGGCTGCTCTCAAAGCTCCTGCAGGATGAACCCAGGGAGCAGAAGTTAGCAGAAGTTAACGGAAGTCAACGCAACGGCTAAACGTCACATTAAAGTTAGCAGGGATTCAGTTAGCCAGCCGCTAGCACGAAGCTAACCGCGGGTAACTGTGGACTTACTGTAAATAAGCGGAGACATCCATCTCGCGTTGTGGTCGATCAGTCTGTCCTATCGATTGTCTGATCGGGTCCGTTTCATCCTGTTTGTTTCTGTCCGACGACGTTTTGAATTTTCGCGCTCAGCCAATAGCAACGCGAGCGTTCCAGAAGACCACGCCCCCGGGACCTGACGACATTTCCGTGTTCGAATACACAAAATAAAAGCACGAAAGGAGTAAAACCTCCAAAACAAAAGCACCATTATACTTACTGTAAGATGATTTTATGTCCATTACTTTTTATTTTATTACAATATACAATTAGGAATGTAGTATATAAGTATATAAGAAGTTTTTATTATTTATTTATTTTCAATAATATTTCTTATTGTTTGTTATTATTTGGAGTTTTTGTATTGTGTTGTTGTTCTGTGGTGAATGTGAATGTTTTCATTAACATTAACTTTATGAATATTTGTTATTTCAGTGACTATGTGTGTCTATGTGTGCTGCAAATGATGTTATATGTTTCTTACATTTTTTTATATATTTCTTTTTTATGAATGATGCGCTGACTGGAGAGCACTTTAAATTTATATATATATATATTATTGATTAAAACTAAACATTCACGTTGTCATTGCATAGAATGGAATATAATAAAATATATTTATTTTGCGGTGGAGATTATCCCAAAAACAACAATGTTGAACACAAAACAAGTCAGGAACGAAGACATAAATGAACAAACTAAATAAAATGAATGTTCTTCAGAAAGTGTAAGAAAGAAATCCTTTTTCCTAAATACACTGAAGATATTAAGTTTTATATTTGTTTATTAATTTTAGTAAAATATCAACGTAATAAAAACTGTAACTGTTAATTTAAAAGCAGCTGTAAAGTATTATATTAAATATAGAGGCGTTATTATGGGTCAGTGCGGCTCTGTGATGGTGATTCACTGTAATCGATAGTATTGATCGGCTCTTGGTGCCCGGATGTGCAGAGAGCTGAGCCGCCCGTGAGGAGCCGCGTGAGAAACCCCGTACACGCAGGCAAGCAGCAGAGCTCGCGACGTTACGCAGCCGCCATTTTGTTTCACCGGGAGTAAAGAAACCGAGCAGAAGCGCAGCGGCGGGAATATTCCCGGTTATCTGAAGCACCTTCACCACGGCGGAGCGGCATCGAGCACCCGGTATATAGAGTCTCAGGGTACGTACACAGCGGGCGGACGCGCCCCGCGGCCCCGGTCGGTTGCTGGGTTACCGCCCGGTGCTCACCGGCAGCCGTTAGCCCGTTAGCTCCTTCACACGGCTAGCCGGCATTTTGAGAACCGGGCCCAGTGTGAGTGACGGTCCAACTGCTGTCTGACAAACACCCGGTACCGGTCGGTTTTATTATTATTGTGTTTAACGGCGTCCTCGTGCAGCTCGCACCTGCACGCGCGCACCGGACACCGCGGCCCGTGATGTGCACGAGCCAGCGCCGCTAGCTAACGGTAGCTAGCGTTAGCTTCCAGAGGCGTGGTGGTTGTTTGTAAACGAGCTGCGGGCAGCCGGAGGTTACCGGTGGGTTGGGCGGTGCTAGCGGGTTATCTGTGAGGAGACAGCGACGACACACCTGTGGATAGGTAGACATACCTACACAGGAGCCACAGTTTATCAACGGGAGAGCAGTGATCAGCAGTGATCGATCAGCAGTGATCGATCAGCAGTGGCGCCAAACCACACATCTAAAGCCTCGGACTCACTACCGGACGGTTAACGTTATGAGCTCCACTTTCAGTCTTATAATCGGGAGTCAGTCACACACTACAAGATCTTACACAGCCAGTGCGACTGATCTGTCTGTAATCAATACTCATCATCAATCAACCTGATCAGCCTTCAGCAGTCAGCTAGTGTTTCTGTAGTGGAGACTAAACGTTAACAATGATCCATATCAGCAGTTTGAATCCAACTAAAGCTCCCTGCACCAAACTCCCTTTAAGAAATATCACATTTTACAATTCCTAACGTGTTCGTAACAACACGTAACTCTAGAACCGGCTAAAGGCCGTCATGTCCACAGTCTGACTGTATACAGGATCAATATCATCCATACAGTACAGTGTATACTGATCAATATCATCCATAAAGATACAGTGTATTCTGATCAATATCATCCATAAAGATACAGTGTATACTGATCAATAATCCATACAGATACAGTGTGTACTGATCAATATCATCCATACAGATACAGTGTATACTGATCAATATCATCCATAAAGATACAGTGTATACTGATCAATATGATCCATACAGATACAGTGTGTACTGATCAATATGATCCATACAGTGTATTCTGATCAACCCCCGGCTGCAGCTCGTCCCCCCCCAGTGGTGTAACCGTACTGTAATAATGTGACCCGCACAGATATCTGGAGACATGGCCGAGGATCATGTGAACGGGAACGGTACGGAGGAACCGATGGATACGACTGCAGAACCGACACACTCAGAACATTTCTCAGCCCTACTGGAGGCTGGGTTACCCCAGAGAGTGGCTGAGAAACTAGATCAACTTTATGTAGCAGGTAAGTTCTGTGTGTGTGTGTGTGTGTGTGTGTGTGTGTGTGTGTGTGTGTGTGTGTGTGTGTGTGTGTGTGTGTGTGAGTGTGTGTGTGTGTGTGTGTGTGTGTGTGTGTGTTAGTGTGTGTGTGTGTGTAGTGTGTGTGTGTGTGTGTGTGTGTGTGTGTCAGTGTGTGTGTGTGTGTGTGTGTGTCTGTCAGTGTGAGTGTGTGTGTAGTGTGTGTGTGAGTGTGTGTGTGTTTTTGTGTGTGTTGTGTCTGTGTGTGTCTGTGTGTGTGTGTGAGTGAGTGTGTGTGTCTGTGTGTGTGTGACTGTGTGTGTGTGTGTGTCTGTGTGAGTGTGTGTCTGTGTGTGTCTGTGTGTGACTGTGTGTGTGTGTGTGTGTGTGTTACCTGCTGTGTAGATGACACTGGAATAATAGTGTTGTTGTTGTTGTTGTTGACAGTGTGGTGGGTGTAAACAGTGATAATGTGGCTGATATATATTGAACAACCTGCATTGATCAGCAGATTCTTCCTGCAGTCAGTCTGTAATCTTGCTGTTACACATGGTTGGTTCTGGTCCTTTCTATGGTGGGTGATATGGTTAAATAATAATATCTCCTTATCTTTGGGGATTTGGGTGATAATGATAATCAGTGGATATCTTTAAATGTGATGTGAATTGTCTGAGTTCGGTCTTTTTACCGCTGACAGCTCCAGAACTCATCGTCCGGGCCCCAAGGGGGGAAAAAGTGAACAGATTCATCGTCCGAGCGCCCAGGGTCAAGGTTGAACAGATTCATTGTCCAGTAAAGGTTGAACAGATTTCAACTTGAATCTTTCTGAGCGATAAAAGTATTTTGAAACTAAACCATTTCCATGCCAGAGAGTCACCCACGTCTCCCCTAATCATCTGAAGTGTTCAGGGACTGGAGCTGTTTGCATTTTCTCTCTACCATCACAACGCGCTGCTAAACTGTTGCAAGGAGGATGCTAGCGAGAGGTCATGTGATCACGTAGGCCCACTAGTCATGTGACTGAATCCTGCCATGCTGTAGAGAGCGCTGCTGCTCCGTGTATTAATGGATGGGAGGAGTTTCCGCGGGCGTTTAATTGTTTTTGGCGAAGTAATTTAAAAACTCGATAATGGAAATTTGCACATCGTCAAAACAACAACGATATTATCACAAACGATATCGGCCACCTCTAGTCCTTTCATGGTTTCCATTGGCTCACTATATGATATGTTAAAACAGTGGTGACGTCATCGTTAATCCCTCTGTAGTATAATCCATTAAACTACCCGAGAACTGACAGAGGGAAGTTAAAGGTGAAGAAAGTTCCTCTAACTGCATCTTGTTTCCTGCAGTGTCAGTAGGTCAATAATAAGTTCCCTAGTATTTATCCTCTTTACATTTATACAGTCACTCACTATAGTGCTGTGTTTATGGATCATTGTACTGAGTGCTGTCTGTGTGGGTGTAGGAGCTGGGTTGAATGGGTGGTGGATGTGATCAGCAGTAAAGGCTTTAAGGAAGATAGAGTGAAGCCAGCTGCTACTGTGGTGTACACACACACACACACACACACACACACACACACACACAATAGAGCAGCTGTCCGGCTGCAGCAGGTGAATTGGATCCAGGCTGCTGGTTGAAAGTGTAAATGTAGCATCAGTTTGTTTGTGCTGTCTTGAGGAGATTGATTGTGTTGAGAGTTGGCACTGTGTGGGACTGTAACTCATTACTGGGACATAATGAAGGCTTTGTTCCTTCATCTTCTGTTAGTCAGTGCTAACCTGCTCAGATGAACGTGTCTCTCACACCACACTATGTTTCTGCTGTGTTCATCAGGCCTAGTAGCACATAGTGACCTAGACGAAAGGGCTATTGAAGCTTTGAAAGAGTTCAATGAGGAGGGAGCCCTGCAAGTGCTGGTCCAGTTCAAAGAGAGCGATCTGTCACACGTTCAAGTAAGTTTAATGATGTGAAAGACAAAGCTGCGTGTGTTCAAATGTTTGTTGGACAACCTGTGTTGCTTTTTAAAGAGTCGGTGAATGTAAAGTTTGAACCATGTTTCTTTGTTCCAGAACAAAAGTGCCTTTCTGTGTGGGGTGATGAAGACTTACAGGCAGAGGGAGAAACAAGGGACTAAAGTTTCAGACTCCACTAAAGGACCAGATGAGGCTAAAATCAAAGAACTCCTGGACAGAACCAACTACACACTCGATGTTACAACGGGCCAGAGAAAGTATGGCGGGCCCCCACCTGAGTCGGTGTACTCGGGTGCCCAACCCAACGTTGGGACAGAGGTACACTTTGATATGATAATAATAATAATATTGGGATGTTATAGTATTCAGCAGGTTTCTCTTTAAACAACTTCTAACTTCAGTTGAATCCATAAAGAAAATGTTTCCCAGCCTAACAGGAAGAGAGGTAGTTGAGTCTGTGATTGGGACGTTTTTAAAATGTTTTTCTTGTATTTTCTTCTAGATCTTTGTGGGGAAGATTCCCCGCGACCTGTTTGAAGATGAGCTGGTTCCTCTCTTTGAGAAGGCCGGTCCTATCTGGGACCTCCGGCTAATGATGGACCCGCTGAGCGGCCTGAACAGGGGATACGCCTTCGTCACGTTCTGCACTAAAGAGGCGGCCAATGAGGCGGTGAAACTGGTGAGTGTGTCAGGAAACGCAGCGTTCAGCAGAGCCGTTGTCTCCTCTGGGAAACTAAAGTTGGGACAGTAGCACAAACAATAACTTGGAAATAAAGAGTAAACTTAATTAAATGAACTGTAGATGAAGAATTTCCCCTTTTGTATTAGGTTTTCTGTAAATGTTGTGTTGAACTGGACACATTCGTCGTCTGCCATCATCATATCTGTGGTTTGTGTCTTGTTTTCCTTGTACAGTGTAATAATCATGAGATCCGCCCTGGCAAGCACATCGGGGTGTGTATATCTGTCGCTAACAACAGGCTATTCGTTGGCTCCATTCCCAAGAGTAAAACAAAGGAGCAGATTGTTGAAGAGTTCGGTAAAGTCACAGGTAAAAATATCTTTATTTAGGGTTTTCATTCATGTAATAGTTCTCTGCAATGTTTCCTAATGTGGTTAACTAGTTGTTCGACCATTTTAATAATCTAAAGCACTTCTATCTGACCTCCTTACAGAGGGCCTCAGTGACGTCATACTCTACCATCAGCCCGATGACAAGAAGAAGAACCGAGGCTTCTGCTTCCTGGAGTACGAAGACCACAAAACGGCCGCTCAGGCTCGCCGCCGGCTAATGAGCGGCAAGGTGAAGGTTTGGGGCAACGTGGTGACGGTGGAGTGGGCGGATCCCATCGAAGATCCCGACCCGGAGGTCATGGCCAAGGTGAGCTTCAACAATCACAATATTACCTGATAGAAAACAATTACAGTCTCACGGTCACTTGAACAATGAAGTTAAAAGTGAAAAATGACAGAAACTTTTGGTTTTTTAGATTCCTGAAAAACAAGTTGACTCATCCTGAGGGCGTATTCTAATTTTTCATCCAGTGTTCTTATGAAGCCGCTGACGCAAAGTATTTCTGAGGTTGGATCTCTGGTCTCACTGATTACTGTACAAGAGACCAACGTTCTAACTGGATTCAGCGATTCTGGTGAAACTGGATCAGATCTTATGGAGGAAATATTTCCTGGTTGTCCCTCTGACGTCCTCCGGCTGCTCAGCTTCAACTCTGTTTCCTGATGGACGGGTAGCTTTAGCTAAAATAACTGCTAACTAACTAAGCTAAGAGCAGCTCAGTACTGGTCAGACTGGCTCTGTCGATCCATAAACACCGATCAATATCTGCAACCCTTCCTAGCTGCCTGTTTCAACAGGAAACACATAAATATGAGGAAGCAGACAGCTCTCTGCTTCCTGTTTCTCCACCAACATCTTCAGATGTAATAAAGATAACAGGCTTTACACCTCTAATGTGTCTCTGTCCTCGCAGGTGAAGGTTTTATTTGTGAGGAACCTCGCCAACGGTGTCACAGAGGAGATCCTGGAGACGTCCTTTAGTCAGTTTGGAAAACTGGAGCGAGTTAAGAAGCTCAAAGACTATGCTTTCATTCACTTTGAAGAGCGGGACGGTGCAGTGAAGGTACTGAAGACAGCTGTAGTTATTATATATATTATATACTGTAGTTGGCTTTAAAGGCAGAGATGTTCAACGTGTTTGGACTCTTTTTCTCTCAGGCATTGGACGAAATGAACGGCGCCGAGCTGGAGGGAGAGCCGATTGAGATTGTTTTTGCCAAACCACCAGATCAGAAACGGAAGGAGCGTAAAGCCCAGAGACAAGCAGCCAAAACACAAATGTAAGAACCGTCTCTGCCGGTCGGTCGTTGCTGTTTCTAACCACCGTCCAACCTGAACCTCTTTATTCTGTCTCCATTTTTAGGTATGACGACTATTACTACTACCCTCCCCCTCCCCACATGCCTCCTCCTGTCCGAGGCCGGGGCAGAGGCGGCAACCGGGGCGGCTACTCTTACCCCCCCGACTACTACGGCTACGATGACTACTACGACTACTACGGCTACGACTATCACAACTACCGCGGCGGCTACGACGACCCGTACTACGGGTACGACGACTTCCAGGCCCCGGGACGAGGGCGGGGAGGCAGCAGGGGCGCCCGGGGCGGATCCTCTCCGGCCAGGGGACGCGGCGGCGCTGGCGCACCCAGAGGCAGGGCCAACTTCTCCCAGCGTGGCGGACCCGGACCAGGCCGCGGAGGGCGGGGCGCAAGAGGAGGCGTGCAGCCGAGAGGGCGAGGAGGGGTACGTGGTGCTCGGGGTGGCCGCGGTGGAAATGTAGGAGGAAAGCGCAAAGCTGATGGGTACAACCAGCCAGATTCCAAGCGTCGCCAGACCAATAATCAGAACTGGGGCTCTCAACCCATTGCTCAGCAACCGCTCCAAGGTGGTGATCATTCTGGTAACTATTCCGGTTACAAATCCGACAACCAGGAATTTTATCAGGATTCTTTTGGGCAACAGTGGAAGTAAACCAAGTAGGGCTTTGATAACAAAATCCGTGTTTATTGTTTTTGTTTTTGTCTTTTTATTTAGAGACTTGATCTGATTGGCCCTCAATCCCATACGGTTGCCTACGTTCTTTTTTCCTCAAAATTGGTGACATCTGGCAAGATCTCTTTTTGTACATATTTTAATAATCCGCTTGGACTCAAACAGTAGTCTCACTCCCACCTGTTTCTGGCGAACTGGTTTTATTCTTTTTCCTTTTGTTTTTTTAAAAGATGGTCGTTAAAAAGATTTTCCATAACAAAGTTTGAAAAAAAATTTTAGATGCAAATATGTGCTCGAGCTGTCTATTTGGCTTCTAGCTTTATGTATGTTTTTAGAACTTCTGGTTTCCATGTTTTAATTAGCTAACAGCAACAAAGCATATGTCTCCTAAACATGTATTTAAAACAAATGAAAATACAATTTGTATTGTCACAAGTAATGCGTGTCTTGTTATTGAAAAGAAGAAAAAAAAAAAAAAGGACCACCGTAGTCCTATTTTTTGGCTTTACATTTTGGCTTGTATTCTTTGCTGTTTGTCTGCTTTAATAAACATACACGCACACGTGTACAAAACTTCAAATTGTGTTGCAAATTCATGTTTCGGCAAATTCTCTCTTCAAATTGCCTTCAAAATTTTAAGGCTCCTTGTGGAAGAAAATGGATTAAAGGTTTGCCAATGTTGGCCCCATGCTACAGTGTCACCTTGCATGCCATCAAATTCCAAATCACCTTCTAAAGTCGGCATCTCTCAAGTGCTCTGTGCAGTGACATACTCCATCCTTTATGAGTTCCTCTCATGTCCAAAATGTCTCACTAATTGGTGTCCTAAATTCATTTCTGAGCGAGCCCCGCCCCCCGAGAGTCATACAAGTCCCTGTTGTAACAGCGGGGGGGGTCAAAAAGCACAATTTGATTTGTTAATTGTAAAGTGAAGCTTTTCCTTGTCCCAGAAGGATCTTCTAGCTGTTGCAGGCCTGGATATATACTAATCTTGCATGTTTTTATCTGGAGGTTTGATATGGTGCTGCTGTGGGAGATAACTGCCCTGCATGACCTGCTCGTAGTGTTTATGTTGCTTTATAGATTTAATGGCTGCTCCTCCCTCCTCCCTCTCTCTGCCTGTCTGAGCCACGTTTCACCTGCCGCACCTCCAACTGTCTCCTGATCCCTGTCGTCCTCCTCTAAGGCATTGACATGTGCATGTTACAGTGTGTGAATGCTGTTGTCTTCATGTTGTTCCACTGCAGTTAGGCTGAGCGTGCGCGCGCAGGCAGTACATGTGTGTAGATGTAACATGATGCTGTTGTCCATTCTCTAATTGCTTCCTTTTGTTACCTGACTAGCAGGGAAAAGGGGTCGAGGCCGGTCCTGATGTGTCGCTATGAAGACTGACCGGTGCATGGCGTTAACACTGCAGGCTGCCAGTGGATGGAATGGTAAGGTCACCTGACTCAGTGGTCCAATGGCGTTCCAGCCTTCCTGTTTTTTTTTTTTTTTTTGTTTTTTTTTTTAAGGAGCACGTCTCCTGAAACTGCCACGTTTGAAGATAATCAGAAGAGCAAAAAACTTTTAAGTTTAGACTCCCCGAATGGACATGGTTCTGGAGAAGTCTCTGCACTTTGTTTTTGTTTGGAGTGGTTTAGTGGAACTTTGTTTGAGCTCTGAAACTACATCTTTGTGACGGACTACACGTGATGATGTGATGATCAGCGGTAGCGTTGAGGCGATCAACCCGGTGGGAAATGGTTCTCTAAGCCACAGAGGGTCCGTTAACTACCTCAGATTTCGAGGACTTCGCCCGCTCTGCCCCCGTTTTGTACTGGAGGAGACCGTGGCGGGGGTTTGCCCTCCCTCCACCTCAGAGATACGCACAGTCAGCAGCAGCAGCCGCCATAGACCTCCTGTAATGAGCCTCAACAAGCTGTGCTGTCTCTACACGGACTGAGTGAGGATGTAGTTTACAGACAAACTATTTTATAACTGTTTATTTTTCTATCTTAAATCAGTGGTTCCCAACCTCTAGGGGGGCCCAAAGCTTTATGGGAGGGGGGGGGTCACAAGATTTTCTTCATTTTAAGGCGTGCTAGGAAACTGTACACAGCAGGCCAATATCTCAGAATTTGGTTCACCTGTCTAATAGAAGAGCGGCCAAGTGTCAGGGACAAGAATACACTGACTTTGTCAAAAGAAGCCTTTTAAGTTTGTATGATTGTTAATGATGATGATGATAATAATAATAATAATAATAATAATAATAATAATAATAATAAAATATACTTAATACAGAGAATTGTATAAAACAAGTTCCCCAAACAGGAAATAACCTGCTCAGAATAAATTCAGATCTCTCATTTTACACCAGCGTCCTGCTGTCACTGAGTTATTGTCTCATTCTGAATATAATATGGAATATAATATATCCATTAAACTGGTCAGGGTCCCTAAAGGAAAAAGGTTGGGAGCCACTGTCCTTAATGCCTGGAAACCACAGTCATCCTTTGTCTTCCACGATGGGAAACTGTTGCTGTTGTTGTTGTTGTTGTTGTTATTTGTAGTTTGTAGATTTTATGTTTGTTGAATGAACAAGGTTGCATCCGAAGCCTTTTATTGATCAGGACTGGAAGAAAATGAATTTATCTGCAGCTCCTGAAAGCTAAATGGAGAGAGTGATTTGTAGGTTTCACATTGTCACAGTAGACTGATGATCATGCCGTATGTGTGGTTGTGACAAACTGTAGGATAAACTGGTGTTAACTCTTCTTACTATCAGTATGCACATTATACTGGAGGTCAAATGTTCAGAGTTTAAAGGAGCAAATCCATCCAGAAATAATACTAATACTACAACTACTGTTAGAGCTGCACAGGTTAATACCCACGTGGCTTGTGTTCGTCAGTGAGGGGTTGAGTTGTGCTTTTTAGCCAGCTAAAGTTCACTCACCCGGCCTTTTGATCCTCAGTCTGTTATTTCTCAACCAACCAACAACTAGTGCTGCAGGATCCAGTAAAAACATCACGCTGCGATTGTTATAGGATTCATGATTATTGTGGGAATCATCGTCGCATCACAAATTCAATTTTCACTCAGATTTATAAAAATCATGTGAAATGTGACATTTTTTGGGTTCTGTACCAAACAAACATATTTTCTTCCATCTAGAGAACATTCATATCCCAGAGAGTCTCTACAGCTTTACAGTGCTTCATTATAACAGTTATATCTTCTACCTTCAGCAGAACTGTACATATTACCATCAGTGTGTTTGTCAGTCTCTGGTCCATTAGTTTCCACTGAAGGTTTAAAGATAGATGGTAGATTTGAATCAAACAGGAGGAAATGTTAAAGGACTATTTCCTGCAGCGGATTAATCTGCATTTGGTGCTCCCTTACGTTTTCTCCCATCCAGTGAACTTGGTGACATATGTAATGTATATGAACAGTAACTGCAGGAAGGTTGTGTAAAACCAGTGGAAGAGTCTGTATTGTGTATTTTATACATATATTGGATCTAAGCAAACATTCATTCAGTTTTCTTCACATTTCGATGAGCTGTTGAGTTCCAGGTGTGCAGTGTGTATATAGTGTTATTACACAGCTTAAAGTCAGCAAGGTGTTCTAGTCTCAACATTTCATTTAACTCAAAGTGTAAAATTTAAAATCAAACTAACCCATGTTTGTAAGTTTAAAAACCATTCTTGGTCAACTAGTTTCAGTAACTTTAAATCACTTCATTTTGACATTTTTATTTGTATTGTGTTTATAGTGAGACGTACGTAATCAATAATGTTTGTTAAACTTACAAAACTGAGTTTGTAACTATTTAATATGTAAACTGTGCTGAACAAAGTCATCAAGTATCAGGCCTGTTAATCTGTATGACACAAATAATCAATATACAATATATATATAAAGAGATTGATCAAACATTCAAACGTCCTGCAGTTACTTATTTACACAGGATGTATAAATACATATCAGCAGACTCTCTGGAGCAATGCATTGTGGGAGTTGTAGTGCGGTTGGATTTGTCCTTTAAGCTCTGTCTCATCATTATTACTGATGTTTGTCCCTGAATGCATCGCGGCGTGTGGACTTTCAGTATTGTGGTTCCGGGAGGATTGTGCAGCTTGTTTTCTTTTTACCACGTTTGTGAAAAGGATTTCTTTTATTTGTTTTTAATATTAGTACGGACTCTACGGTTACTACGGTTGCCAATCGAAGGGTCACCAATGAGTTTTGGTTTTGGTTTTTTTTGCTAACAAGTGTGTTTGCATTGTTGCAAATGAATTGTTTTATACTGTACAGTGAGGTGAGTTAAACCTATTTTTCTAATAAAGTTATTGACTTTGATCTGCTTGAGTTTGATTTCATTCCTTGTTCATTAGTTTCTATTTTAAATTAATCAATATTTACATTAATGTGTTTATTATCTGTCAGTGGGTAACAAACTGCCTCTTCACTGTGTCACAGTAATACCATTAATATTAACAATAGCACATTATTAACACATTATTATTATTAACACATTAATATTAACACATTATTATTAACACATTAATATTAACACATTATTATTATTAACACATTATTAACAATAACATTAATATTAACACATTATTATTATTAACACATTATTAACAATAACATTAATATTAACACATTAATATTAACACATTATTAATATTAACACATTAATATTAACACATTATTATTATTAACACATTAATATTAACACATTATTATTAACACATTATTATTAACACATTAATATTAACACATTAATATTAACACATTATTAACACATTATTATTATTATTATTAACAATAACATTAATATTAACACATTATTATAATTAACACATTATTATTATTAACACATTAATATTAACACATTAATATTAACACATTATTATTAACACATTATTATTAACATATTATTATTATTAACAATAACATTAATATTAACACAGTATTATTAACACATTATTAACACATTAATATTAACACATTATTATTATTATTAACACATTATTATTATTATTAACACATTATTAACACATTAATATTAACACATTATTATTAACACATTATTATTAACACATTAACAATAACATTAATATTAACACATTATTATTAACACATTAACACATTATTATTATTAACACATTAATATTAACACATTATTATTAACACATTATTATTAACATTAACACATTAATATTAACACATTATTATTAACACATTAATATTAACACATTATTAACACATTAATATTAACACATTATTATTATTAACACATTAATATTAACACATTATTAACACATTAATATTAACACATTATTATTATTAACACATTAATATTAACACATTAACACATTAATATTAACACATTATTAACACATTATTATTATTAACACATTAATATGAACACATTATTAAACAGTTAATATGAACACATTAATATGAACACATTATTAAACAGTTAATATGAACACATTAATATGAACACATTATTAAACAGTTAATATGAACACATTAATATGAACACATTATTAAACAGTTAATATGAACACATTAATATGAACACATTATTAAACAGTTAATATGAACACATTATTAAACAGTTAATATGAACACATTAATATGAACACATTATTAAACAGTTAATATGAACACATTATTAAACAGTTAATATTAACATATTAATATTAACACATTAATATGAACACATTATTAAACAGTTAATATTAACATAATATTAACACATTCATATGAACACATTATTAATAACAAATCATTAAACAGTTAATATGAACACATTATTAAACAGTTAATATTAACATATTATAATTAACACATTAATATGAACACATTATTAAACAGTTAATATTAACATAATATTAACACATTCATATGAACACATTATTAAACAGTTAATATGAACACATTAATATGAACACATTATTAAATAGTTATTATTAACACATTATTAAACAGTTAATATGAACACATTAATATGAACACATTATTAAATAGTTATTATTAACACATTATTTAACAGTTAATATGAACACATTAATATGAACACATTATTAAATAGTTATTATTAACACATTATTAAACAGTTAATATGAACACATTAATATGAACACATTATTAAATAGTTATTATTAACACATTATTTAACAGTTAATATGAACACATTAATATGAACACATTATTATTATTATTAACACATTAATATTAACACATTATTATTAACACATTATTATTAACACATTAATATTAACACATTAATATTAACACATTATTAACACATTATTATTATTATTATTAACAATAACATTAATATTAACACATTATTATAATTAACACATTATTATTATTAACACATTAATATTAACACATTAATATTAACACATTATTATTAACACATTATTATTAACATATTATTATTATTAACAATAACATTAATATTAACACAGTATTATTAACACATTATTAACACATTAATATTAACACATTATTATTATTATTAACACTTATTATTATTATTAACACATTATTAACACATTAATATTAACACAATATTATTAACACATTAATATTATTAACACATTAACAATAACATTAATATTAACACTATTATTATTAACACATTAATATTAACACATTGTTATTATTATTAACACATTATTATTAACACATTATTATTATTAACACATTAATATTAACACATTATTATTATTATTAACACATTATTATTAACACATTAATATTAACACATTATTAACACATTAATATTAACACATTATTATTATTAACACATTAATATTAACACATTATTAACACATTAATATTAACACATTATTATTATTAACACATTAATATTAACACATTATTAACACATTAATATTAACACATTATTAACACATTATTATTATTAACACATTAATATGAACACATTATTAAACAGTTAATATGAACACATTAATATGAACACATTATTAAACGGTTAATATGAACACATTAATATGAACACATTATTAAACAGTTAATATGAACACATTAATATGAACACATTATTAAACAGTTAATATGAACACATTAATATGAACACATTATTAAACAGTTAATATGACACATTAATATGAACACATTATTAAACAGTTAATATTGAACACATTATTAAACAGTTAATATGAACACATTATTAACAAATCATTAAACAGTTAATATGAACACATTATTAAACAGTTAATATTAACATATTAATATTAACACATTAATATGAACACATTATTAAACAGTTAATATTAACATAATATTAACACATTCATATGAACACATTATTA